AATAGATTTGGTGTTTATGCATTTAATAAACCTAATAAATAATATTTTAGTCATTTTACCAAGCACACATCATGCTAACTTACAATGCTATGCAAACCTTAAAAGGCTAGCACATTTATTGCAGAATGGTCAAACTTGCTGGGAATAGACATCGCAAATTATAGGGCATTATGAAAATATTTTAATGAATGCTAACTAGATTTGCATTCACAGGAGTACACGTAGCTGAAAAGTGTGAGGCAACTAAGCAATTTGATGCTTCTCTCATTATCATTATTGCAAGTTATTTTTAGACATTGAACCAAAGTGAAAAGTCCAAATTCCCACAAGTTCGCCAGTCGTATCTGTAAACTCAGTACCCTGCTGGGCCCCACTAACGAGTCCCACTGATGTTTATTTCATGTTATTCATAATTGGATATACTAACGATTTAGTTACAGACATACTGAATATGCAATAGAAATAAAATTATGTAGCTTAGAATATTACATTGTATATACTAATTATAAAATAAGTTATTAATTTGGCTATCAGTTATCAGTAGCTGTACTGTAGAAAAATAATGATATTTAACAGAAATATGTAAAACAATAAAGGGTGAGAAGAGTATTTTATTATGCCTTGAGTTCATTTCTTATATATTCTACTAGACTGCGCGAGTTCCATCAATACTGTGTTACTTCGTTGAATACTGCGTTACTCATATTGCACTGAATACTGCGTTACTTCACTCATATTTCAGTTCAGTACGAGTGAGGTAACGCAGTATTTTCATTTCAAGCGTAAAATATTTGAAAATTGTACTTCCAATTAAAAATGCTAATATTTGAAAGTATCTGCTTCAAAAGCATCTGTTTTAAATGCATCCTAATCCTGTTCTACAAAGCCCAAGTATAACATTTAATTACAACATATTTAACACTTCATTGCTCATATTTTAGCCGATTAATGCTTAACTTTTTCATTCTTTTGTTCGTTTATATAAGCTTACCTCCCGTTTTTTAGAGTAAATATTTCGTTAAAAATGCATACAAGACTTCTTTCCTTTCCTTTTTGCATAATCAGTGGGTAATTTTTTACATCATCTGCAAAAAATTTTTAAAATACATATAACAGATTTAAAAAAATTGAGAGCTTTCAGATTTTACATTGCACCCAAATGGACTTTTTTTAACGTTTTGCGTGTTACCTTTTTTTTCCAATGGCAGATTGTGAACAGTTACAGTTGTAACAGAGTCCGTTAATCTATACTAAGGCGAGACGTGGTGGCCTCTTTAATATGAAGGCACCAACTAGGTGGGCCACCATTGTCTCCTATGCAGGGATGGACAGTTACAACCGTGCCTTCTCCGGGATTCGAACCCAGGCCCTTCGGTATCGCAGTCAGGCTCCCTTAACCACTAACTGTGTGGGCGGCTTTGTGTGTTACCTTTATTTATTAAATATCATGTTCTTCGCACTTTAACCATAAAATTCAATTCAACAGCAATATCGCAAAATAATTTTAAAATGAGCATATCTTTAGAATTTCTGATACACAGTCTCGCGCTGGAGATAATTTTTTTTTCGTACAGTGTTGCCATTGCTCGCTTTGAAATCGTTGAGTCTGTTAATCAAAAATTCGTTAAACTGTTAGAAAATATGAAATCGATAATAAAACAAATTCCAAATTAGGGCTTCCAGATTCCCATATTCGGTGGAGGATTACGTTATTCAAAACTGGATGGCTCAAGGTACCACAATGCGAGCACCATACATACATTTATACAGACTCTTCATTACTTAATTTATTTAAATATAACACAGGGCGATAATATTTGGTGGCAACAAACTGAAAAGTGAAACGGACATTTAAAGTTTTCGACGCAAAATGCCAAAACGAAATTAATAGCTCTTATGGGCTAACGCCCTTTGGGCTAATTAGACGAACATTCGTATTTATATTTTTATTTATCTTAAGTTCACAAATGCAAATTATTTAAAATATGTGTAAGAATAAAGTTTCAAAGTTTATTGGAAAGCGTTTCGCAGTTTAAGCTGACTGCTCACTAATATGTTCCTTTCAGTAAATATAATAGCTAATTTATAATCTCAACGGTCTAAGACGGCACTTTTTTTCTTTCTGACGGAACAACAATAAAGTGTTATATATCGCCTTTGCTTTGATCATTATATTAGACAGTTCATTGCTTGAAAATTACTATATTGGCCGCAATGTAAGAGCTCTCACATAAAAGATGACCCTACATTTTTTCAGATGATTTACAAAAGAAAAGAAACGAGTTGCTTATAACAGTCTCAGGCTCAAATTGCTTGCGAGCCGAATGCACGGTCTGAAAACAACTGGCAGGCCAGAGAACGTGTTTTTAACAAAATAAAAATTTTTTATCAATAAAATCAAAAATACTTTAAATAATTTTTTAATTTGGCTTACTAAATATTTATCAAATCAAACATAAACAATGATATTAAATTAAAAATAAACTATAAAAACTTGCTATGTTTTCAGAAAAAAACTTTCCATGCTGAGCAAAACTTGAGAGTAAATAATAATAACCTTTTTTTTTCTCTTATTTATTAAATTTGTCTTCGAAGAACAAATAAATAAACATATGTTCGTATCTAAATAATGATAAACTTCTTTATTTCTTACTATAGCTTGACACTTGATGGCTTTTCGAATCTATTAAAGTTTGTTGAAGAAAATTACTAGAAATTACCTTCATTGCGGATTGTAGACGGTCATTCGTCAATCGGGTTTTTCCATATTAAATTTTAACTGTGAATAAAAGCTGTTTGGTATTAATGCATTTCTAAACAAAGCGATTATTCTTAAAACAAAAATTCATAATGGAGTATATTTCGTTTTCGACAAGTACGAATAAAAGTTAATAAAATCCGTATCTTCAAATATTTTAATAAGATTTATGTCACACTGGGAATTAATTAGCTCTATTTACAAATTTTCTGGTACCCTAGTCATGTTCATTTTTAATGGTAATGAAAACGATATAAACTCGGACTTCAAATTTTCGCCATCGATGGAACAGCTGGCCCACTGGGCTGGGTGCTTTTCAGCCTGTTGGATCCCATCAATGGAATTAAAAAATAAATACATAAATAAATATAAATAAAGAGCTTAGTACTGTGTCCTACTGTAATTGACCACACGAAACGAGGAACATTGAAATAAGGACCAGAACATGGAAAGAAGGTGCATGGTGGTAACTAATGAGATTAAGGGGAACACTTATTATGGTACATGTTAGGCAGACAGTTATACAGTTATGGTACATGTTAAGCATATAGTTATATTAAGGATATGCTATATAATCAGGTACAGATGTAAAGATGAACAAATGCATTACAAATTGTAAGATACGTCAAAAGAGTTCTGGATTAATTATAAAATTAAATATAATTAAAAATAAAACAAGGCAAAACAAAAGCAAAATAAAAAGACATTAAGTAAATTAATATGTGTACAGAGCGGGCTACTGACGGCACGGTGTCCAAGGAAATAAGTCACTCCAGGCTGTCAGCAATGCTTTTAGCAATGGTACTGCAGTCTCTAATGCGGCTGAGAGCATATTGCAACATCATATCTGAATTAAATACATAATTAAAATGCCTTGGAGGGCCACATAGTGTTGCTTCGTTCCATTTGACCTGTGTGCTGCCGGTTTGAGACCACTGACTTGTACGATGGCCCCCATATGTATGCCGAAGTTACTCTGCAAAAAACATTTTAGTAATTTTCTCTCTCCTTCCAGCATGCCTTCGTGGTGTAACGGTAGCACACTCGCGCATATGCGAGAGATTCGAATCCCAGCGAGGGCACTCCATATTTTACATGTCTCCTGCTTCAAAATAACCTAATGACTCTACAAATACCATACTTGGGGATAAAACTGGGTAAAAACGTTTTCTTTAATAGTAAGAAATAGATGATAAATTACATATATCAATTAAGCTACCCATATAAGACAGATATTGTTTTCAAAAGGCCATTTCATAGGGGGATACCATCTTTTATTCGGGACGTTGCAGTTCTTACAAATCAATGACCTAGTTCGAAAGATGGTTTTCAGTAGCATTTTAAAATGTTAAAATTTTATGGTTGTAATATAAATTTGCTTTTGCTCTAATATAAATTGCTTTTGCATAGGAATTTATAAATTTTTCTTAACCATCACATTTTTTACTCATAAAATATTTCATAAGTAATCAAGATATTTAGTGCTTTTAAAAGCATAAATTTATAATTTTACGTAGGAGTAATCACATAAGATAGTATAAATTCTAATTTTTTCAAGTCTTTTAAGTTCAAGAAAGAGAAGACATTTTAATAACATTTTGATGTTTTGGTTTTAAAAATTTATGCAAATAATTTGCAGTTAATATATTACAGCGATAGCGATATAAATTATTATCCATTAATACTTTTTCTTTGTTATAAATGATCTCTTAATTATTAAAGTTATATACCTTAAACGAAGTCGCACGCAGACATCCTACTCCACGTTCTATCTTGATTATTTTCACAGTGCTAGCTTTATGTTGGCAAAAAAATGAAAAGCTTTATAATTTTTCTTGGAAAATATTTGATAATAGTAAGTTTACAGATTAGTGAAGAACAGAGGACATCTTATAGCCTTCTTTTTATTTACGTTCACTTGCCTTTTCGATGACTTCGAAGCTACTCCAAGATGACGACATAGATTTTTTTTAATGCAGTGGGATGACTTCACTAGTAAAAGCAGCCTATCAAAAAGGAGAAAATAGCTGGAAAGCGAGCTAAGCAAGCTGAAGCTCTCGAAACATTGGACAATCCTTATCTCATGATCATATCTCGGGGCGCGAAATTTCCCCCTCAAAAGATTTTGCGAAATATTACAGGCTGAATTAATTTCCTGGAAAGTAGGTCAAGTGAACCAGCTCTTCTCCCCCCCAACACGCTTTTGCTTTATATATGGAGTTAGAGTGTCATTTTGTCCTATCTTGATCCCAAGTCAGGCCTCCTTCTGGGAGGCCTGACTTGGGACTTTCTTGACTGACTTGGGACCTTCTGACTTTCCTTCTGGGCCTGACTTGGGATCGACATGAATGAGGTCCAAGCTGCAGTGTGCGATCTAGTCAACTATGGGTTCGACTTCTTAGCCGATGGTAGAAACTGGTGGTTGCCGGTGGCAAAAGCCACAGAACTGGAATCTTCGGTATGACCCCATAGTAAGTACTTAACCTTTACATTTGCTTTATGTCTTCAGACCGCTTTATGTCAGTAGGAGTAAAAGTGAAATAAAATTTTTGGACATCACAATGTGAATTTTAGGCTTAATTAAAGCAATTTCGTAATTACGATTTGGTGAAGTAAACGTTTTCGCTGCAACTTTTCTCGGGTTGTTATTTTTAGACTTTATTAAAATATTACGTGCTTTACTCTTTTAAAGCTCAGTATTGATTTCTTTTTAAGGTTAATATTTCAAATGCTAAAACTAAATTTCTCCTTAAAACGTTTTGTGGAACACTCTTTAGAACCGTGTAATAATTAGCACCGTTATTTAGTCTTTTTAAAGACCTCCAGTGGTTCTTAGAATTCTGTTTGAAGTCACATAATTTTAGGTTTTTTTTTTTAACTTAATATTATTGTTCCTTAGTACTCTTGTTATATCTATTTTAGGTGACGTTTACAAGTGGCATATTTAAATGACATACATTTAAATAGCAGTCTAAAAATAATAGTCATTATAAATTTTATCAGGTTCTGTTTTAAAAAAATATTTGGAACAGCTAATTATTTGAAATACTTTATTCTTAAATTTATAAATATTAAGAATACTCTTAATTAATACTTATTTATATTAACAATGCGTTTGTACTAATAGCAGCTTCAACATAAATGAATTTTTTAAATTTTAGAATTACTTTGCTAAGGAATTTTAAGTTACTCTGAAGCTGCTTATGTTTTTATAAATTAATCCTGTTAAATAACTGTAGGTTGCTATAACTTAAATATGCTTATTTTTCTGTATTTAAATGGAATATTGCTGAGACATTTTGGGGGAAATAATTCTGAATAAACCTATTAAATATGCTTTCTGACACTTATTTTAAATAGCATTCTAAACGTTCACATTTATAACACATTTTTTACTTCATATTTTTGAATATGATCTTAAGATTTTAAAGACAGTAACCGTTTTCAATTAAAAATCATTATTTCCAGTAAGTTGATGATGATTTTTTAAAATTTTACACGCATCCAAATTGCTGGTAGGTATTATTTCTTTATAAAACAATAGCCATTAGTTTCAGAAAATTCCTTTGAAACTTGTAACTTTTTTAAAAAAATATTTCATGTTTCCATAAAAATATTTATATATCATATGAGACTGACGAAACTTAAATTACAATGAACTTAAATTTCTTTCTAAACTTAGTTTTCATGACGCTGCTAATTTTTATATATTAAGTTACATACTTCAAAAATTTTACAACATTCTTGAATGTATAGGTAATTCGCAAAAGGAAACTTGCTCGACATGAGAGAAAAACCGGTGTTTCAAATTGTTTTAGGTAAGCTTTTAGTTTCACTTTCATATTTTACTTTAACAAGCCCATATGTGTTAAAAATAATAAAACGCATGATTTTGTTTCAGTTTAAAATTAAAATTTAAATCTCCTTTCCAAGCAATTAAAAAAAAATTTACCTTAGAATGAATAATGCTATGGAACGATTTACTGATATACTTTCTTTTTGAACCAAACTATAAAAAAAATTCAGTGTTAGTTTCGAATTTTCTCTTAACGTATTGAACAAGTTACTGAAAGGCCATTTTCAAGTTCAGTTCAAGTTTCGTAAAGCAGTTCCCAGCCTGGTGACCTACCTGCATGTAGTTGCTCCAAAAATAAATAGAAATTTTCAAAAAGGAAAGAAAAATCCGAAATATAAATAAAATCTGTATCTGAAAGAATTCATTTTTTTACAGTTTGTCAACCTTGTAGTTTACCTGTAGGTTGCTATAACTTAATACTCTTGGACTTAATGCTCTTGGACTCTTTCCTGTTAAGACAACTCTTTTTGCTTTTCTAACTTTATTATTAAACATTGCTTTCTTCGTCCTTACACCACATAAAATTCTACAGCAAAGTCACAAAATATTTAAAAACAGCATACCTTTAGAATTACTGATAGAGTGTTAAGTGTTACCATTAACTTAGGATAAGTAAGTTAAAGCTACTTTCATGTCTCTCCTGTATTTAATAGTGAGATGTATTTATGTATTTATGAATGAAGAATACTTTTAAAAATACTGTAGCATTTTTATATGGGATTTATTTAGAATACTTGCAATCTGAAGGACAGGAGAGCTTTTTACGAGGAGGAACGTATGAGCCAGATTTTACACCTGTATTCTTTAAATATGAGGTAAGTTTATAATCTTACCCTTCAGATTTTATATTAAAAGACATGTATCTCTTAAAAATACCGAAACTAAAATTCTGTTTAGTTTAGCTGAAAAATTAAATACCTCTCTCAAACAAAGATTTTAAATTTTTTCTTAGAATTTTGAAATGAGCATTATTCAATAAAAAATCATCACGTTTTTTAATCAAACTATAAAAATTGATAATATTCTTAATTTTGTTCAAAGGTTTTTATCAGCTTACCAAATGAAATGCGTTTCGTTTACTAAAAAACATTTTTAGATTGGTTTGAATAGTACAAGAAATTAAAGATGTTCACACAGCACAGCCCTATCATTCAACGGTCAGTACAATAAAACGCTTATTAGAGGTTGCTTTTGAATCCGAACGCGGCCTAATATAATAACAGGATTTCTCTCTCACACAATATATACTCTCCGAACTAAGATTTAAGGAATATTTCAAAGATATTCCTTTTGTTGAAATTTAGATTGAAATCCTTGCATTTCGATCATGCAAAATGAGAAATGAAACTATGAGATTATAAAGTGAACCAGGGAGAGACATTCATATTCTCAACTCCTAAGTATCATGAAATGTCTTCGTGGAGGACTTTTTAAAGGAAATGGCTCAAATTTACGTTACACATTTCGAAAACTGTCCCATACAGCCAGCCCATTCGCTGGAATTTCACAGTTCAGCGTTCTTATCGTTTGACCGCTGATGGGTTCATCAAAGTTTTGCAAAGATTAATTTATTGACATGCATTAAGATTTCATTAAGGCTCATTAAGATTCATGACGTTCATTAAGATTTGAAGGGCCCATAGGCCACACTGAGATGCAATAGAAACATTCGTCAAAATATAACGCGAATACTTCAATTTTAGGTTGTAGCTGAATCCTGGTATCTTTCCATGGCGGCCTTGAATGCCACACAGTTTCGGTATGCCGTCTACAGAAATTAAACATAATTTCTAAATAATCGTTGCGCTGCGTTTTCTAAAATTCTCGAATGAGTTTGATAGTTATTGACATAGATATTCTACTACAATTAGCAGCTTATATCGTATTATATGTGGCCACCAGCTGAACACTGAACACTGGTAGTTCGGTCCGGGGCTGGAATCCCGGCAAATGGGCTAGCTACATAAGTGCTTTCATGGTCTTTCCCCCTATGTGTAACGTGTATATTATTCGATTTTCTTTAGAAAGTCTTTCACGAAACATCCTTCCTCTTATGCAGATAGCCCACGGGTGCTTTGCCATAATTAAATAAACCAATCCAAGCCATAGTATATATGTAACTGTACGACGCGATTGTGTGATTCATTTTCTATTAATATTTGAAGAGTAACTGATTTTTTTTTGTAAAGTATGCTGAGAAAAACAACCTTAAGATTCAAAAATCTTAATTCAAATTGAAAAAATTCAAGAAACTTTAAGGAATCGGATTCAAGAAACTTAAGATTCGTCCTAGCTCTAAAATAAACTGCAAACTATGTTAATAGTGTTCTGAAAACTTCAACGGAAAGCCTTTCTTACACAGTGTACTAACTCTGACGAGAAATCTAATTTCAACAGAAAATTCTATTATATTTAAATGCTAATATAATCTAAAATTGCTCTTGTGCTTGTGTGAAAAATTAGCTTCATTCTTAATTCCTAATTCTAGTGTCTTTAAATATTTTAATTTACTTGAAATAACTTTATATTTCCATTTAATAGACTATTACAGAATTATTAAAAAAATTTATATAGGTATTCGAAAACTGATGAAATATGCTTGTTTACAAGAGTCAAATATTATGGACCAAACGATGAAGTTTTTTACGTTGACGTTGGGTAAGTTTTTAGTGGTATTTAAAATATTTTGTGTATTAAAAGTTATAAAATGTGATCTGCTTAGCTCAGTTTAAAATTTAAATTTAAATCTTTTTTTGACAAAGTAATTTCTAAAATTTTACGTGCTAAAAATAATTCATTTTTATGTCTTCTTTAGGAATCTAACTAAAAAGAAATTACATTGCTAGTTTTGACTCAGTTTTCTCTTAATTTATTAATGCAGATGCATTTTATTTGATACCATGTCATATTTCATGTTTACTTATCTGCTATTTTACTTTTACAAGCAAATTTATTTCGAATACATTTTACTTTTCTTTTATTGTTTTTCAAATTATGCACTGATTGATATGAAAGAATTAGAAAGTTAATTTAAGAAATAAACATGAAATAATGTTAGGATACCTCTTTGGATAATGCGATTGAAAACAAAATTCTCATTTTCGTCTTTCGAAAAGATTGACCTCTTTGGGTAACTGACTGATTGATTGGGTAATGAGATTGAATTTGCTTCCAATAGAGGCATTAACAAAATGTTAAAAATCTCTCTCTGGGCACTGAAAATGGAAAAAACACTGTTACTAATAATTGCATACAGGTACACATATGTATTATTGTATGTATTTTTTGCCTTAAAATGCATTTTACAAGTAAAGGTCGAAATTTTAAAGTAAAACAACCAATTTCTTGTTTATATAATTCTAATTTATCATCTTTAAAAGTAATATTATGTCTAAAATTCTAAATTTAAGATATTTTCTTTAGTAAGACTTTTTCTCCGATGTCAAGTGGAAACACGAGGACACGTTGTTTGATTGGTTAGCTGTTCACTCTAAGACAGTACAGTCTGATTACCCGAACTTTCGATTACCTGGTTACACCATATAAATCTAATTCATGCTAGAAATTTTTATTTTAATTGAAATAATACTGAATTTCAATTAACCCTATTCCTACCAAGCAAAACTTTTTTGAACAAAAATCCTGACGTCTCGCAGCTAAAGCCAGAGTTTCTACTATTTGTCAATTTTTACTCGCACAGTTTTTACCTAATTATTCTTAGCTACGTTGCGTTAGTTCAACAGCATTTTTCCCCTTCAGCTTAGCAGTTAAGCAATCAAACGAGAATACTTTTTGCCACAAAAGTGGTGGAGCAAAATAAAGTGAAGTATTTTAGTGTATTGTATGGTTTATTTTCTGCAATGCGTTAAAAAAGTATCAAGTGAAATTTCACGCATAATGCTGTAATATACAAAGAACGACAGACCAAAGTAATCAGTATGCAGTCATCATATCTGTCTTTTATTCTACACTTTTGTAATTAATTGTCGTTTTAGTTAACGAATTTATTTCAGTGACCGATAATTTCGTATTTTCCGATATCCTAGCTCATCGGACTACCAGAATAATCGAGTATAAGATGAATAATCAAGATTCCATCGTATTTTTATACGATAAATGTAAATAATTTAAATAATTAATAACTTTAATTGTTATCTAAAAGAGATGTTGTCTTGTAGTAATTCTTCATTCAACTTTTTAGTACTAATTTTTCATTGTAGTACCTTGAACTGTCTTAAATCTTTAGTGAAACCTGAAGTAATCATTCCGAATACTCCTAATATTTCCACGTGTGTATCACAATTCTTCATTTTTGTCGTTCTGCAAAAATTCGCCTAAGAAGTCTGAATTATTTTGTGTTTTTAATAAAGAATATATACATTTATATGGAATAGGTAATGCAAACTTCATGATAATTTTTTTAACGTTGTGTACAACAGAGCAATTTTCATTAAGTATTTCAAGCCACTGTACTTCTGCGTGATTAATAATTAGTTGCATAGCGGAAACAGGTGGGTGTGGTCCACTATAAAATCCTCTTTGACGATTTTCCGCTATTCAAATTTTTCAGCTTTTTATGAAGCGTGTTTTTTTTAATCGAAAGCAGGTAATATTTTTTCCGAGCTGAAGCAGGGATTTCTTTTATATAGCTCTAAACAGAGCATCTGTCATAAATTGTTTCAAATCAGGAAGCTTTTGCGTTACGAAAAAATAGGAAGAATACCTGTGAAAAGTTTGTAATACCTTTTTAGTAATGATATACTGCAAAAGGTTCTTACGTTTGGGAATGTCACTAAAATATGCAATTTCTAAATTACGTCATTTTTAAATGTGTCAGAGGTTAAGTCAATTTGCTTAAAATGTGGTATCATTGGGCATCTCTCATTTTTTTCCTGCGGAAGAAAAATGCGCAATTTAATCGACCATAATCGAAATTTTGAGGAAAATTACAAAACTAATCTTGAAGATAAAATTTTGTCAAAATCGTTCCAAAGGCAAGACTAGGAAGAAATTAAACAATTCATTATTACTATATGAGTTTGGATGACTATTACACATGCATTTTATAAGTAAGAAAGAAACTCGTTTCATAATCAAATTTAATAGCTATAAGCTCTTAAGAAAAGATATTTCGACGTGAAAATAAAACTAGTGAGCCTTCTCTAAAACGATCACTCAACGGTTTAGTTTTGGTCTCCTCTAAGGACAGTCGCTTAGAGAGGATGACTATCGATGACAGTGATTATTGATTCCAATTCAATTGGAGTCCAATTCAATTCAATTCAAAAAATTCCTTGGAGTCTATTAAAGAAACATTTTGAAATAGAAGTGTGATGTATAGTTTGATTCATTAATATCATTATTTTAATAAAATAACAAATTAATCACGCAAATAAATAACGAATAATTTAGCAGAAAATTCTTAGGAAATAAATTTATTCATAATTTCTGAAATGCTGAGAGTGAAAATATTCGTGTATTTTTTTTAAAACTAAAAATACATTACTTTATAAATTATTTTAGTAACTGAACATTGTTCACAGAATGAATTCTAGCTCTAAATCTAATTATTTCTTTTACCAATTTGAACAACATAAATAAATCAACTACCGTTTTATTTCTTAAATTACTACCCTCTTATTTTAACTTATATTTTCTAAATTACGCTCCAGTTATTTTAATTTACAATTCTCAAATTACGATCTAATTACTGTAGTTTATTTAGAGAATTTAGAAACCCTTCTATAGAAATACAGAAAACACTCTCTTTCTATTAAAATGCTCATCCAATAAAATATGCTTACTTGATTTTTAGCTTTTTGGCAAATTACTTTCCTTTTTAAAGCAGCTTGAACTTCTTAAATACGTCATCTCATTACTTCTTAAATTACAACTCAATTATTTAGTTGGTTTATATGCAGATCTTAGGCACTATTGCATAGTCATTATGCAATAGTGATTCTTAATTTTAAATGACGTGATAATTAAAAGATTGAAAAGTTATGTTTCAATAACCAGTACTTTTTTTTTACTTTCCTTTTCATTTTAGTATTAAAAACATTAAATGTTTCTATCCAGCCCGTGAAAACAGCGTTCTTTAGCCAGGAGATTTGATTTCAATAACGTCCTTTTTTGAACTTATCTTTACACTGATAATGGGCAGCCAACCACTGAGTTGAATTAGCATCTCTGTCAGGAAACCCCATTATAAGAACTATTTTATAAACTTGAGGTGCATGATTTTTTTCCCTGGGTCTGCTTCCTTTTAAAGTTTTCAGGTTAGAATTCTGCTAAATGCCTATTCATCATGAAAATGTAATGCTGGATGATTTAAAAAAGTGGTTTAATTTATGTATCTCAGTTGAAAAGAGCAAAGTATAAGAAAGGTGTCCATAATTCCATGCGTTTATTATTCGAAATACTTAAATAATCAGGCTCTTCTGGCAGTAATGAAATAGTTAATTAATCTGTGTGCGTGTTTTTCTCATTCTAGCCACAGTTAACAGTGCTTAATTATTAAATTTTGTTATATGTATAGCTATCCATTTAAGAAATACTGTAATTAATTTCCTGATGTATTTATAATGGTTAACAATCATTTTCTTTAATTTCACCATAAAAAAAGACTTGGATTAAATTCCTTGCATTTAAAGGGGGAAAGGGAAATATTACCATTCTCCTTTCAGGGAAACAACAAAAGATATTTATCTTTAAAATGCATAATTATGAATAAATATTTCTTAGTGAAATGTATGTTAGATATGAAATACCAGTTTTATGACTTTTAGAAATTCTACTAGGATAAGTGTAAGGCGCACAATATTTTAAAATGCATTTAAACCTGCTAATGCAGCTTGTTTAATAAAGTAACCTTGTTAACCCTTTGTATTCAAAGATTCTTTCGAGGTATAACCCCAATATATTTCCGTCTCATGATTTATAACACTTGTGTGAAACGTGTTATTTTCCATAATATACTAGATCATTTAGTATCATAAACATAAATTACGCGCTCTAACCAACTATTCTTTGCGGAAGTAGCAGTTATCAAGTTACCCACATAAGAATGAATCTCATAGAAGAAACTGCCAGCTATCCATCAACTGAGAGGTACTTATATATAATAATCCATTAGCTATCCATACAAGAATTTCCTGGCAAAGGGCTATCCAACAGAACAGTAGAATAGCCTTCTTAATTAGTGCATCTCCCATGCCAAGTAAGTATTCACTATGGGTGCTAACCAATAGCCGAGGAACTAAAGCCACTGCATTGGTAGTTTTTCTCCAGTTCGTTTCCTGTAAGCTGGTTTCGCATATTACCTAATAGGAATTAATGGTATTATTCTGAATCTTTCTCATATCTATAGTAAACTAGCGGAAGTACGCGATGCTAGTTAGTTTGAGAATAATGTACCTAACAACAGAGAGAACGTTACCGCTGTAATCCTTTTCTGATAACGATGCAAAAAAATACGATTCATAGTCATATATTTTTCAGTCTGATGGCATATGGAACCCACAAAAAATTTCAAAAGAAAAATAAACTAATTCTCTCTCATTATATCAGCAACAATGGCACGCAGTTTTTAATGATTTTCGTCTTTCTAATCAAATGGTCGTGAAAGCTCAATTTCCATCCAATATTTCACCTATATTCAATTTTAGTCTATTAAATATGGCAAAAAATTTATCATAATTGATCAGAAATGAATAACGCGAACAAGCAAACAGACGTATATAGATTTTGAAAAACTTACAAATTTTTGATTAACAAACTCTGCGATTTGACAGCGAGCAGTAGCAGCACTTCTCGAAATAAAGCATTTTTATAACCAATGTGCGAGACTGTTGCCACTCGGAAAAATGAGTGCGAAAATTAGCGTTTTCAGAGTTTTTAATTAATATCTTGGCTGATTATTTATTAAGTCGTACAAAGATGGGAACACTCGAAATGGTATCCCACGAATTTTCGGAATCAGGTATATTTACTGTTTGGCAATGCTATTTTCATTTCATTGTAAAACTTTGAAATATTTTATTAACCAACTCTACGATTTGAGAGCGAGCAGTGAACAAATATTATAAATAAAACAAGTCGACTAAAGCAAGTTTTTTTCCCAGGGCGGGACCCACTCGACTGCGAAAATTAGCGTTTTCAGAATTTTTAATTAATATCTCTGATTTTAGCTACTTTTTTTGGAAAAAAAAGTGAAAAAAAGGTCGATGTCGGACATCGACCTTTTCCAGGACCCAGAAAAGAATTCTAGAAAGTTTGGTGATGATAGCTATAGTAGTGACTGAGTTAATCGCGAACAAATACACATTCTTCTTTATAGTATATATAGATAGTAGAGCTACCAGAGTGCAAAGAATTGATATTTACGTGTAGAACCAAATACAAATGCAAATGCAAGAGATCGTTTAGCGAAGCTGTTTAGTATGTTAACTCATTTGTAGATTATCATTCAAAGACAAGCACTTCATCCTGCATATTTACTTAAAATAAGTTTTATCTTTCGTAATCGTTTTAAAATGCTTCACTACTTTTAGTTAAAATGTTTGAGGGGGGTAATTAACAAATAAGCAAAGAGATCAAATCTGATAAATAATACAATTTTTTATTACTGTAGCAAATGAGATTCTTCATTGCTGATAGTAAATATTTTTATATCCACAGTTGCAACAAAGCTTCCTCAGAAGGAAATATTCTTCTTCAGCTCAGTCAACATTTTTCATGGTCCCAAAGAAGGATGAATTCACCCGGTGACTTCGGAAATCTAATGTGATAATTTCGTGACAGCAGAACTTTCTGACGAAGGCAATCATGCTGTAAAAATTGTTATGTTTTCATATTTTATCTGTTTAAAGAGCTTTTGTTACTTCACTGTTCTGTTTCCGACTCCTGGCCAAACAGTGGCCAGTATTAAAGAATTGGGGAAATTGAGGGAAAGGTTCAACTCAGCTGTGTTTCCTGAGAAACATGAACTGTTCGAGGTTTCCCAAGAATTATTTTCCTATATATTATCATATGCCTATATATTGTTCATATTGTAAATATGAACCAGATTACCCTAAGAAGACCTACGTGAAATTATCTAGTAAATTTTTGCGTCTTCCCTTGAAATGTCGGAAGGGATGGAACAAAACGCTTTTTGCGTTTGAGAATAATGCATTCAGTTTCTTTCTACATATGCTGCATTCTTTGCAATAGCACAGAAACAGAAATTCCTATCATCAGTTCAGAAAATAATAATTAATCAAAATTAATAGGCCCACCAGCGGCCGAGCGGTAAAGTCGCTGAACACTGGTAGTTCGGTCCGAGGTTCGAATCCCGCGAACGGGCTGGCTGCATGGGTGTTTTCGTGGTTTTCCCCGTGTGTAACGTGTATTACGAGCCAGTTTCCCTTAGAAAGTCCTGTACGAAAGTAGTCCCTCTCCTTAGGCAGATAGCCCTAGTGGCTTTGCCATAATTAAAGACCACACACCCAAACCAAATTAATAGACAAAAAATCAAATTAAAAAATCAGCGAACATAACAAATTAACAAAAAAATAATGAGTATATAAACGGAAAAAATTAATAATATAAAAATAGATAGAAATGAAATTTTTTTAATTTAAAAATATTAATAAATAAATTTAAATTTAAAAAAAATTTTAAAAGAATGAATTTAATCTGTTGACTAGTATTTACTTTCCTACCTACTGAAAACACTCAATAAATAAAAAAAGATCTTCATCCAATTTCGGAATAAATTATTCCCTCCCCCCAATTCCTGTCACTTCTTATAATTGAATGGAAACGATTAATAAGTTTTATGAGTCGTCATCACAGAACAAGAAAAGATTGTTGATTTTGTATGTAGTTTTAATAAAATATTGTTTGTTAATGAGTTTTTTTAACAAACTATTAGCATAAAAAACTTCGACGATAAGCTCAATGTGATATATTGGTATGTAAATATGTACTTATTATTTTTCGAGCTGCATTATTTTATTAGCTCATGTGTTTAAGTGTACTTTTTTTCACTATTGATTATTTTCTTTTATTTGTAAATACATTGAAATTTTTTCGACTCCGCTCAGTCTCTGGCTCATGTATGATACAGGGTTTCCTTAATCTTAGAATTAGTGCAATAAAACTCCAAATATGCAGATTTTTTTTTAACTGAAATCCTACCAATTCGGATAACAGGGTTGTTTTTCTGTAGGTCAAATGTCTATTTATTCGAATGAGAATGAAATTAATTAATTTTTTAACGTATTTTACTTCATTAATTTGAATTTTACTGTTAATTCTGTTTTAGTTTCGTAAAACTGCATAAAAACAAACAAAACTTTATCTTTAAAAACAATAGATATTATTTTTATTTGCGTAAGACGAAACTTATAATCTTTTTCTATTAAACTGCAATCAAACTAGAACATCATTATTCTTATTTGTCGACGGATAATAATAAAAAGAAAAAAATTAACAACGTATTATACGTTTCAGAAAATCAGTACTTGGAAAGGCTAAGAAATATCTGGTGAAGTAAAAACAAATAGAATGGCTCTACACAATGCACAATTATATTTTCCTTAATATCTATAAATTATATATTGGCGAAGTATTATGGATAAATCTACATATTGTATTCTTCTAAATTAACTTAATAGCTTCTTTAAAGGGAGGTTTTTTACAGTGTCGCCTTTTAATGTTATTTAAATTAATAAAAGTATTAGAAACACATGAATAATAATAAGCTTAACTTTACTTAACAGAGGAAAAAAAAACAAGCTATTCGGATAATTGAAATTCTGTATATTTGGAGTCTGCTAATTGGAATTTTACAATAATTGGTCGTGGTATATTTATGTATATATAGCGTTTGTCTACACTTTCACTAGAATGTAGCGTCCCAGAAACATAAGAAAATTTGTCCGTATCTGACACGAGCTGGAAGTTCATCTTCGCTCTTGAAATGAGAAATTGGGCTATCGTGTATATAGTATTGGGTTAACATATATATTTTTACTAACTGATTGTGGTATATATAGCATATTTTTTACATATTCAGTGGCGTGTAGCCTACAAAAGATATAGGCAAATTCGTCATAAAACATTTAGCTAATATGTATATAGTATTGGGTTAACATATAACAATTAACTGGTTGTGGTGTAATAATTGGTTGTGGTATATACGGTATTTCTCTGCACTTTTAGTAGAGTGTAGATAGGAGAGACATAGGCAAATTTGCCCATATATAACCAGAGCTGGAAGTTCATCTTCGCTCTTGAGAGAAAAAATGGGCTAATATGTATATAGTATTGGGTTAGCATATGGTTTATTAATTAATCGTGGTATGATACTTTGTTAATAATTATTATTTCATTAAACATTCATTAATTTCTAAATTCGTAGTTACTCATCCATCAAAAACGTTTTTAGTTTTTGATAATATTAATCGTATCGTTGGTTTCTGGGAGAGGTTTAATCTTTTGAAACGAGAGCACACGGTCACATCGCTTATGTATGTGAGTTCAAATATTTGGTTTGAAATTGCCGCCACAGCGGAAAACACAAAACTGTATTTGACGAATATTACCGAACAGCCTGTCACATCGCTGTCAAACACTAATAAACGCCAAGACTTGTGAATTAAGTACAAATTATTTGGAACCCTTACATAATGTTTCATGGATACGAAGATCACGGTTTCTTTCCAGGGAAGATCTAGAAGTAGTACTTGAAGTAGAACGCTACAGAACTAGTGTGCCCTCCACCTACATTATACTTGTCTGAGACACATTCAATTAAAAGTAAAAGGGAAGAATGATGGGCACATCACAGCCAAATTACAGATTAAATAATCATGGTCAAATAATCATGAATTAAAAATACGACAAGAAATGTCTCAATAATTAAGAAAATACACAAAGCTCAGTTGTTAGAGCATTTATCAATCGACAACTACTACCTGGATTCAGACCCTAGCCAATGCCGAGGTCTTTCCAGCAAATCTTTCCTTAGATTTTGATAAATTTTAATGTAATTAGATTTTAGTAAACTTTGTTAACTGATTAAAATCCAGTTAAATACTTAACACATAGATTTCATCCGTTGGTAAAAACATGTATACAGTTATAAAAATTTGTACTTACTCATGCCGAGCTGAGCACTTTTGTTCGCTCTAATAAAGCATTAAGCGTGATATTCAGATATGTAAATAAATAAATGTATTAACAGCGTAGAATGTATATGAATATTATATAAATGTAACAATGTAGAGGCAGTAAATTCTGCAACACGCTTTTGTTTACTCTTGCTGTGTATTCAGCATACTAATTGTTTACCTTGTACTGTGTATATTTTTATATATAATGTAGGTCCAAAAGCTTTATGGTCAGTAAATAAGCCTCAAAGGGAAACTATGCATCATTTCATAAATACTTTGTATTTTTGTTAATACATGTGTGAAGTTTAGCGAACGTCTGTATAATTCAGAGTTAGTGAAATTCTGAGTTATAAATGGTCTGAGGTATAATGTGTTTCTGATAAATATGTTTACATTGATATACACTTGTTTATTTTGAGTTAAAAACTTTTGGTAAGGGTTTGATCTTGTTAAGTTTTGTTTATAATTTAGAATTAATAAATATCAATTGTAAAAATTGGGTGTGGTATATATTTCTGATATGCAATGCACTTTATGGTCAGTAAAAAAGCCTCAAAGGTAAACTCTATGTATCATTTCATAAATACTTTGTATTTTTGTTACTACATGTGTGAAGTTTAGCGAATGTCTGTATAATTCAGAGTTAGTGAAATTCTAAGTTAGGAATGGTCTGAGGTATATTTTTCTGATAAATATGTTTACATTGATGTACACTTGTTTATTTTGAGTTAAACACTTTGGGTAAGGGTTTGATCTTGTTAAGTTTTGTTTATAATTTAGAATTAATAAATATAAATTGTAAAAAGTTCGGATGTGGTATATATTTCTGATATGCAATGCACTTTATATGTAGTTTTGCACTTATTTCTTCCAAGTTATAATTTTTTGTTAGTTTCTTATAACAACTTTTGCATATGATAATTTTTTTGTAATTCAGAAAGAATAAAATCTAACTAAACTTTTAATTTGCCTCTTTAATTGTACCATTTTGATTTAAAGTGTGGTCTGAATTTCAAATATAAATTTAGGACATAATTAACATCCTCGAAATATTTACAAAATTTCTTATTCAACTGGAACATTTTTATGGGACAATTTAGGCTGCTTATGAAACATTCCTCCCATAATCAAGAAAATTCTTTGAGGTGTAACTGGTTCGGTTATTTGGAAATCCTATATTCGACAACAGCACAATGAATTTTTCAAATTATCTCGCGCTCATACTCTTTTCTTCTCAATATAGAGTGTTCCAGTAAAATGGCGAACGGTAAATCGTTATTTAGATGTAGAACGATCGCCTAGCCTCCCTTTAACTCCATTTAGATGATAAGAAATGAAAGTAATTAGAATGTTCATACCATCGACGATGTGTATGTTGAGTTGTTATTTACAGGTCTCGTATTCAATTACGGATAATGGCACTGTTTATTTTCAGTTATTCCTCGCTCCTTAGCTCCTTTTTTACTTTCAGTTGAGGAAAAGATCTGTTCATAGTAGTTATAGGCCGTAATTTTTATAAAAATGACTAATACAATTGCATTCATGGACTAAACGAAGTTTCCAGTTATTCTTATAAAAAGCAAAAATTGCAATTTATTATGTGAAGATTTATAGCAGCTAAAGTTTACAAATTTATAGCAGGTTACGTTTACAGTTACAGTTTAATTATAAAAATAATTACGTTTACAGTTTAGCAGTTAATTATAGCAGCTAATAGTTAGATTAGATTAGATTATCTGAAAAAAG